CGTTAAAAGATGGTACTTGTTGTTACCCTGTCTGGCGCTCGGCATTAAGGGGCTAAAACAAGGACTGGTCGCCTCGGAGTCAGTATGCTGTGTCTGAGTGGGGTATTCATGTTAAACTGCGGCATGGTATCTCAGTGGACTAGCACTATAATTCGGCATCAGTCTGGAATATTGCAAGCAGCCACAAACACACACGTGCATGCACGTCGCTATATAAGTGCAATAATCTTGGACGCGACGTTAAACTCAATTTCACCTCACCTCTCCTGTAGATAAGACAATATGTCCCCTGCTCTCTATTGAGGTGAGAGGCGACAAAATTGATCGGGTGGTCAGACTCAGTGACTTGGTGCATTGCGTGTCATCAAGCTTCGCGTCTGACGTTGCTCATAATACCAGTCACTTGTTTTTCAGATCCAAACTCGATCATGTACAGGTCATCGTGATGTCGCTGGAGGTTTTCCTCACTGCGGCGTAAAGCAACAAACAAACAGATGTAAATATATAATAAATTAATCGTTCTTGGAAATTTTCGTCTTAGTTCTCGACACACCCTAAATATTTTGTTGGAATTAAATGAAATTTACTCCCTCTAAAAATAGACAAAAAATAGATTTCAACATTTAATTTAATTTGATTTTCAAATTGATGTATCGGATGAAAAACCTAAATGTGCATAAATAAATTTAAAATAATGTCATTACCTTGTTTTATTATTTTTGTTGTTCATTGCAATAGACTTGATGTCTTTGCGTATTTCTTGGATTAAAAAACCCGGCCATTTTGGCAAAAAAGTAATTAATTTACTAATTACAGTAACACAAGTATATATACTTCATAACACAAATACCACCTCAATTGCATAAAACATCTATTCCAAAGAGATATTAATCTGTTAGCTTTGCCTAATCAATATAGTTCTTATATTGGATGAATCCACGTACCGTCTCTAGAAACCGGTATTGCATTAAGATCGCACTGAGAATAAGAAAATATTTGAATAATTCTTCACATTGATAATAGGTTTTTCGTGTAGGGTTATTGACGATGGCAATGCACTGAGATTGATTATATCAACAATTCGTCAAAGGTTAACACTTTTTGAATAGTCTCGACATCACTGCTCTCTCAATGCTGCAAAGTCAATAATGTCGGTGCTACACACAAGACGTTAATAGGCCTCGGGAGTGTTGAAACCTGACTCCTTGCCTATTAACACATAATCACTGCTGAGTATTGAACGGCGCCGAATCGAAAGAATGTATAAATATATTCATTGATTATGGAAAGTAAGCATTGTGGAAATGTATATTTTGTTGTTTATAATGTTTACTATACAAACATGTATCATGAGTCATTTAATCCGCCGGAGAGTTTAGAAAAATACTTTTTTATTGAGATTGGTCGGTAAACCATTTAAACACTGGGCGTATTTCGCATTTGTACGCGTTTTAATGGACTAGATGTTCCCTTTTTAAACAGTTGGCGGTTTCGCAAATATTTATATTTATGTAAAAGAAGGAGCAAAAGAAACTTGATTTTCAGTTGACTTTATCATGTGTTTGATGTTCAATTAGCAATATCTTAAGTAGATAATATTTAACAAATGGCGTGTACTGGTGCTAAGTCAGTACTCAAAGAATATATCTGCATGGTTGTATTAACTTACAACTATTTGAGTCAAAGCTTTTTTTAAATTGATAGGAAATCGCATAATACACAACTGCTGATGGGTTTCTTACACTTGATATATTTGCGAATCAATACATTTGCTTTTTTACGGCATAGATTTATCACATTTCAAACATGGTAGGGGTCATGCGGTTTTTTTACCAAAGCCTTCATTGAATAATTTTTCTTTTACACAAAATTACCCAGACACGTTCTACGAGAGAGACAGAGAAAGAGAGAGAGAGAGAGACACACACACACACACACACACACACACACACACACACACACACACACACACACACACACACACACACACACACACACACACACACACACACACACACAGAGATCATATGAGTTTTCTTAGCATCATAACAGGTAAATATAACGTTGGCAGCCTAACATAATGATTCTCCATATAGGTTGACTCCAGTCCGTGGAAAACTTACACACACATACACACACATATACACACAGACACACACATATACACACATATATACACACAGACACACATAGACACACAGACACACATATATATACACACACACACACACACACACAGATCATTTGAGTTTTCTTAGCATCATAACAGGTAAATATAACGTTGGCAGCCTAACATAATGATTCTCCATATAAGTGGACTCCAGTCCGTGGAATGAAAACTTACACACACATACACACACAAAGACAAACACAGACACACACATATACACACAGACACACACAAACACACACACATATACACACAGACACATATATACACACACCGACACACATTTACACACACTTACACACCGTTTTCTAAGATCTGATGGATAACCTTCGTATTTGAATAAATCTTGCACACTTACGCACCTTTTAAACATGGTAGGGGTCATGCGGTTGCAAATTTTTACTTTTACACAAAATTACCCAGCCACTTTTTACGAGAGAGAGAGGGAGATAGAGTGAGAGAGAGACAGAGAGAGATTATATGAGTTTTCTTAGCATTATAACAGGAAAATATAACGTTGGCAGCCTAACATAATGATTCTCCATATAAGTGGACTCCAGTCCGTTGGATGCAATCAACACAGATAGGACAGTACATACAGGACATCACCATACACACATATACACACACTTCGACAGACATGCACACACAGGCAAACACATATTCAAACACTTACACACCTACACACTCACACATATACACACAAATATATATATACACACCTACACACAGGCACACATATATACATACACCCGTATATGTACACAGACACACACAGAGAGACATACACACATATACACACAGAAACATACACACACACACTTACCCACACATAGATACACACACACACATACACACGCATATACACACACAGACACACACATATACATACACAGACACACAAATATACCCACACTTACACATATACATACATACATACATACATATACACACACATACACACACAATTTGCACACTCATGCACACACACATATACAAACACTTACACACAGAGACACACATAAACACACACATATATACGCACACATATATACACACATATATGCACACACAGACACACATATACACACACATATACACAAACACTTACCCACACAGACACACATATATACACACATACACACACAAACATATATACACACCCTTATACACACACATATACACACAGAGACAAACATGTATACACACAGACACACACAAAGACACACACATATACACACAGACACACACATATATACACACAGACACACATATATACACACATTTACGCACACATATACACATACACACACACACACATATACACACACCTACACACACATATATATACACACACAGATACACATATATACACACACTTACACACACAAACACATATACACACACTTACACACATATATATACACGCAGAGACACACACACATATATACACAGACACACACATACACATATATACACACACTTATACACATATACACACACAGACACAAATATACATACCCCGACACACACTAACACCCCGTTTTCTAAGATCTGATGGATTGCCTTCGTATTTGAATAAATCGATAAACCCTTTTATTATTCTCATAACGCTGTCGGTCCAAAATATAAAGTCCTGACATCGAATACATCATGTTTATCGCCTGAATAAAGGACACGTATGAAGGTTTTCTATGCATCCTGCCAACCAAATACAAACACAAACACACAAACAGAGCCCTTCAAACACCATGAAACGACCACCCCCGAAAACCAACTTTGTACTTAAGGCAACAACTATAGACAAACGCCTCGAAACAGTTGTAAGAATCACCACTAACCCTCGCATTCATTTAACGGGACACGTAGAACTTGCACTCACAATATTTACAAGAATCAAAACCTCGTTTCGCTTGTTGTAGCACACACAAAGTCTTTCTAATGTTCGAGGTTCTATTGGAAACCTCCGCAAAGGGCCCTGGTAGTTGAAGGGTAAACGACATAATGGATATTGATACTTGGGTCGGGTAAAGGTCACTACATGTGGTCCAACGACACGCTTGACTGGTCGTTAGGGATTGATATTACACTATGAGTGTGTTGCCTGTTGAACGTTGGAGGGGATTGACATGGCGACATCGACCTACACTTCAGAGTCGTCCAACAAAGAAATGCAATGAGATCCTTTTGGTAAACATATTTTGGATACCCGGGACGTTTATATGAACAGGCATGTGCATATTATATTATATTATATCATATTATATTATATTATATTATATTATATTATATTATATTATATTATATTATATTATATTATATTATATTATATTATATTATATTATATCATATTTTATTATATTATATTATCTGATTTATATTAAATTATAGTATATTATCACATTTATATTAAAGTTAAATTTACTATTTCATGTTATATGTTTTAGGTTTAATACAGTTGGCGTGTGATTAATGCTATTTCTAGCAGTCGTGCTCGTTTATTTTTTAAAAACGGCATTGTATCACATCTTCTCATAACATTCATTTTCAATATTTCTTTTTTATCATTAATGTTTTATACCATTTGTACAGCAACAAACCCTTTCCTTGGTAATATGAAATCTCTAAGATAAGCTTGGTTAAACTGAAGTCGCCATCCTACTTATTTTTTTCTAGAGAATAAAATGATTCATTTCAAAACACAATTGATTTTCGGTTCCGATGATCATACACTATGATCCTGTATCAATTGTCAAACAATACGTCACGTGACATCGATCGATCCCCAGTTAAATGGGATTATACTATAAATTATTATTTTCTTTAACAGACACAACGCTGGTGACAATGGAGTACCGAGTTTGGAGGATAGTGGGTGACGTCACACACTGACGTCAAATCCATACACACCACGTGACGTAAAGGAGTCAACGTGACGCCATGGCACACTTCGTAGATCACGTGATAGAGGTCATCTCAAAGCCACCGGCCCAACGAACTGATCAGGATGTGGCTGAAATATTGCCATGGTTACGTAAACGGTCGAATACCGTATACCACCTAACCAGAGGTATGTTCTGAATACCATAATGATGTCAAATAAAAGCGTCACGACCTTTTCCATTATACTTTTATAAAGGGCGGTCGGGTAGCCTAGTGGTTAAAGTGTTCGCTCGTCACGCCGAAGACCTGGGTTCGATTCCCGACATGGGTACAATGTGTGAAGCCCATTTCTGGTGTCCCCCGCCGTGATATTGCTGGAATATTGCTAAAAGCGGCGTAAAACCATACTCAGTACTTTTATAAAACATTAATGCAAGAGAATAGCCAGTCTTGGTTATTCGCCGAAACAGATTCAGTGGGCGTAACAATCTAATTAAAATCAGATCTTTGTACTCGCTACCACTAAACAAAGATCTGGGGACATCCCATTGGGGGTCACGTCAGAACGACCTTTCATTGGATCAATCAGAGCGTCGCTTACCAGATCATGAAAGTGACACTCGGAATCTGTTTTCTAACTATGCAACCACGAAATATGTAACACGGGGTATTCCGAACGACAGTTACGGGCTTTATGATTATATCCATACAAACTAGGCCATCTATAAGCCATTCCAGAGTGTTCTTCTTATCAGTTTTAATTTTTTTGTTCGAGAATACGACAAAATATGTTTCGAAGCGTAGGCCCCAGTTTGAAACTAGTGTCGTAAAGCTCGAGAAAGCTGCCTTCTGATTGGCTTATGTCGATTTCTTGTCAGTCATTTCATTGGTCGGTCAAAATTCGCGAAAGGTCGTTCTGACGTGACCCATAATGGGATGTCCTCAGATCTTTGTTTAGCGGTCTCTTTTAATTGTAATAAAGAGGGGGCACGGGTGGCCCAGTCGTCTAAGGCGCCGCGATTCGCTGTGCAGAGTTGCGTCCCTTGGACACGCCAGAAACCTATGATCGTGGGTTCGAATCCCGGTTCGCCAAGATTATGTTTCTAGGTTTGTCAGCACCATACCCGTGCTCGTGGGTTTCACCGAAGTGGTAAACGTCTGACACCTGCATCACTTCGGGCTTTCCTCCCACATTAAGCTGACACGCCGTGATATAACTGGAATAATGTTAAAGGCGGCGTTAAACCCAACTCACTCACTCACTCACTCACTCACTCACTCACTCACTCACTCACTCACTGTAATTAAGAAGTTGTTCATCCATAAATTCTTATCCTTACTTCATATTCCATTAGGCATAAAAGACAAAATAGTGGTGAAAATTATATGAATTGATCACTGAACCTCACATGGGACACCAGTGCTCCGGAAGACGTCACGTTTGTCCTGCTCCACCGAGTGTAGGTCATCCCTCTTGTCATTGAGTTCAATGGATAGAGACTCAGATAGGTGACTGTAAAATGAAATTATTTTATCAATCTTTCTTCCAGCGGTTCTCAAAAACCTGATACGAAACTGCCATTACCGGAAGTCGCCCCCTAATGACGTCATCATCAAGCAAGGCGAGTTGGGAGACTGGTAAGACATTTTTGAGACGACAGCTTCGTATCTGTGGTTCACTGATACTAATCAATGCGAACGGTCAACGTTCACATGTGACCTTGACCCAATCAGGGTCATGGTCGTCACCAGGCAAAATAACAGGAAATTATCACTCCAACAGCAACTATGCATGTTAAATATAGACCATTTGGCAGAGTGATGTCCCGTTGCTGGTAAAAATGCATTCAGACCTCCACATGACCTATACACCATTAATACCCTCAAAGCAAAATGCAAGACAGATGCACCAGCGCGCGTACTTTAATTTGCAGTCTATACAAAAGAACTATTTTAATTATTTGAAACCGGGTGAAAAAACATGGGAACTACTTTTTCAGTATGTACATCATCCTCCGCGGAAGGATATCGGTATACATCGACCCGTCCATGACAGGGGAAGATGAGGGGTTCACGCCGGTCCCTTCCTCCCCCAAGAAGCACGGAGGGGTGGGGGCATCAACCGCGGAGACGAAGAGACGCAGGGCAGGGGACAGGTCTTCCTATGGGAAATTCATCATACACTTTGGTAAGCATGTGACTCGCATGGATGGTGAATGGACGAGTGAATGTTGAATTACGCCGCATCAACAGTTCTCCATTTGTATATATACTCACTTCCAAAAGAAACGCTCATATATATTTCCTTTTCCTTTTCGGACATTTCATGCTTTAGGGTGTGCAGTTTTTTTGGAAGTGAGTATAATAGTACATACCCTGCCTGGAGGTCGGCATTAGGGGATAAAGGACAGGATAAAGACAGATAAAGTACGTCTGAGACGTATCCATGTTAGGCAGCATGGTATCTCAATGGGATACAGCCTCACGCACACGTGCATTCACGTCGCTGTACAAGTGAATTAATCTTGAACGCAACGTTAGTCTCCCCTTTCGTCTCACCTCACCTCACCTCCAAGTCTGGGCGGTCGGGTAGCCTAGTGGTTAAAGCGTTCGCTCGTCACGCCGAAAACCCGGTTTCGATGCCCGACATGGGTACAATGTGTGAAGCCCATTTCTGGTGTCCCCCGCCGTAGTATTGCTGGAATATAGCTAAAAGCGGTGTTAAACCATACTCACTCACTCACTCACTCACTCACTCACTCACCTCCAAATAGGTAGCCTTAGACTAACATCGAGTCTCTGAAATGAAACTACAGAAAAAAACAGTTGTTAAATTATCTTAAAAATATAATAAAAAGGAGCCGAGAGACTCTCTTCATTTTCTTGATACTGCAGTAATTTAGACTTGCCAAACATTACAGACTTGCATGGGCTAAATTGGATATATTTGTATCAGGGTCTGTATGACAGACTAAGATAGCCTGTGTAAAATCAAATCAGGGCTAACAAAACTAGGGGTTGACAACATGAGCAACGCTCATTGCCGTCGGGTGCAGTGACACTCTATCAGCGAGGGTCCTGCTCCAAGAAGCGGTCGTAGCGCTATGACTGTCGTAAAGCTACGTTACAGTAAGTTACGACCTTCTTACAGCTAAAATCGCTTTGTTGAACGGTGCCTTAGTCTCACATTGTGAGCACGAAATCGTCATTCATCGTTCACACATTCGATGACGTCAGAAATCTTAATTACTTAGGTTGGGGGATGGCGGATTAACAGACTATAACTCTTCCATCCGACAAAATTCTTTTCAGTGGATGTTCAGCTCAAGGCCTAAATTCTAATCGTAATGTTTTACTCTTAAAATGAACAGCATCCTTGGTAAAGCTAGTAAACCCCTCCCATAAAGCTAGCTTACACGACCAATTCCGGATCAGAATTTTGAATCTATAGAAACGTTCAAACAATATAACGGCGAGGAACATTAGAAATGGGCTTTGCACAATGTACCTATGTGGGGACTCGAACCCGAGCCTTCGGCGAGACGAGCGAACGCTTTAACCACTAGGCTACCCGACCGCCCCTTTACAACCGATGGTCCAATCACTCGTCATATACAGACCGCCTCCGTGGTCTAGTGGTAGATCGTCTACCCAAAAAGCGGAAGGTCGGGGGTTCGATCCCCACCCGCTTCATACCAACAGACGTTTGGTACATGGTACTTTTTGTTACTTTGCCTGGCTTTCGACATTTGGGGATAAAACAAGGACTGGTCGGCTCGGAGTCAGTACACTGTGTCTGAGTGGGGTATTCATGTTGAACTGGTATCTCAGAGGGCTAGCACTATAAAATCGGCATTAGTCCCGACAAGTATATGCAGCCACACACAGACACACGTGTGCATGCATGTCGCTATATCAGTACAATAATCTTGGACGCGACGTTACACGCCATTTCACCTTACCCACCTCGTCATATACAAATTCGTACTTCCCTTTTGCCTCATTGCGCTTCTACTAAGTTAAAAGAGCAAATCCCAAATAGTAAGTAAGCTGAGGAGCCAACAAGACCGGTGATATTACTCTTTATATGGCGGAACTTAACACTTATATTTAAGTTTGCTCATTCCGGTTTTAAAAAAAAAGCATATACACTCTTTGCCCTTTATGACCTCGTACAGTAGTTAGTGAGTGAGTATGGTTTTACGCCGCTTTTAGCTACATTCCAGCAATATCACGACGGAGGACCTCACACTTAGATAGCATATTTACCGATCCTGTGCTTATATATCACATTTATCCTGTCCTGTGCTAAGATAGCATATTTACCGATCCTGTGCTAAGATATCACATTTATCCTGTCCTGTGCTAAGATATCGTATTTGCCGTCTCGTCTGTCTCACTCACTCATTCACTCTCTCACCTTCCCTATGGTTTCAGAGTCGGGGAAGAGTTTCGGTGAGGTGGCCTTGATGAGTGAAGACAACATCCGTAACGCCAGCATCATCACCGACAACGATTGTGACTTCCTCGTGGTCGACAGAGAACTCTTCAACTCCTCATTAAAGGTATCCGTCGTTCCTGTACATATATTTGCCGGATTCTTTAAAAAGAATACGTCTACGACCTGCGTCATTTTGACACATCATCATTATCATCATCACCATCTTCATCATCATCATCATCATCATCATCATCATAATTATCCCACTGAGATGTCATTCTGCAGTTTATCAAACCCGACCAGTCCTTGTTTCAAAGCCTTGTGTATCCCCTTAATGCCGAGCGCCAGGCAGGGTAACAACAAATGCCATCTTTTTACGTATTTTGGTATGACATTGCCAGAGAATCGAACCACCGACCTTCTGCTCTCCCATGCCATATCCAATAGGCCACGGAAACGGTGCTCCCACTTAAAGTTGCCACTCAATGATATAGCTCACTCACTCACTCACTCACCCTTAAAGCCCATATGAGGCAGTGAGGTAGCCAAGTGGTTAAAGTGTTTGTTCGTCACGCCAAAGTCCTGGGTTTGTTCCCCGAATGGGTACAATGTGTGAAGCCCCTTTCTGATGTCCTCCGCCTTGATATTGCTGGAATATTGCTAAAAGAAGAGCGAAGCCTCACTCACTCACCTCATTTGTCTCATTCATTCATTGAACAGTAATCTGTCATACCGACCCTGAAACAAATATATTCAATACAGCCCATGCAAGTCTATAATAGTGTACTGCGGTTTCAGGAAATAAAGAGTGTCTCTGAGATCCTTTTTAATATATTTTATTAAGATAATTTAACAACTGTTTTTTGTAAGATATGTTCATTTCAGAGACTACATGTTAGTATAACCGAAGTTTCTTGTTGGCGTCGACTATATCTGTACTTCAAATATTTATCAAACAGATAAAGACAGAAATAAGGTTAAGGCTGTTACACCGCCACTTCATTGTCCCATCGAGATTTGATCTTTCTATTCTGATAAATCTTTGCCACCGTGACCTCTTGACCCCTGGGTAAATTGAGGTATGTTGAACCTATCAGTAGTAACACATAAGTAGACGTTTGGCTGTCAAGAGAGTGTCGGTTCTGAAGTCTGACCATGTCTGAAAATGCCGACGATGACAGCGACGACAGAGACGTGAGCGAAACATCCTTGTTCTGTGTTTACATTTAGCGCAACATATACTACTCAAAACAAGTTAAGGGCCACCCGATTCTTTCACATGACTATAGTTTATCTGTCATGCCATGACAGGTTAACTATAGGAATATGAAATAATCGGGTGGTCCTTAACTATATTTTAGTGGTGTATTTATGTAGTATACTCAAGGTAAACATCGGTTATCACGCTCTTATTTATCATAATGTGATATATTTAAAAGCACGTGACATAAAAGGGGGCACGGGTGGCCCAGTCGTCTAAGGCCCCGCGATTCGCTGTGCAGAGTTGCGTCCCTTGGGCACGCCAGAAACCTATGATTGTGGGTTCGAATCCCGATTATGTTTCTAGGTTTGTCAGTACCATACCCCTGCTCGTGGGCATCACTTCGGGCTTTCCGAACTCACTCACTCACGTGACATAAAACTCTTCTAATTTTCGTTGAGGATTTTCCAGTTTGTAATTAGACATATACATTTCTTTCGTTAAAAACAAACATATTAAAAAAAATGGTATGTTCTTCAAACAAGCAATGGTGACATATCTTGTTATTGTCATTCGCTCTGGTGGTTAAAGCGTTTGCTCGTCACGCAGAAGGCTAGGTTTGATTTCTACAGGGGTACAATGTGTGAAGCGCAGTTGTGGTGTCTCATCTGTGTGATTGCTGGAACATTGCTGAAAGCGGCGTAAAACCATACTCACCCACTCACTCATGCTGACATGTATCACTATAATATACACTGTTTGAAAAACATAAACAGCTTCTTCACATAGACGTTATTTTAAGTTCGTATCAATATAATCGATTCACCGCAACACATAATTTAATTTAATAAATATCACGTATTTTCACTTTTACGTTTTCTCTTTACAGCAAGTCTTAATTCTATGGGGTTCGTTTCAGGAATATGAAGAGAGGTCGTACGCCGAATGCCGCCATTTTGTTCAGAAACATCCGTTCTTCTCTAAAATGTCGCAGCGCTTCAAGCGACTCCTCACTCTCAGTTTACGGAAGGAGCAATATGGCTTCGAGAGTACACTGGTAAAACAAGGGGAGCCAATCACTGGCCTTCATTTCATACTCAGGTTAGTCTGCCTTTGATAGTACATGTGAATTTTGTTCGAATGATGCCCCTGTTCAATGATACTCTTCAAGTGCCCCTGTCTCCCCAAGGCTCAGTACTTCGCTGTACGGAGAGGCATCCCTTGGGCACGTCAGAAACCAATGATTTGTGGGTTCGAATCCCGGTTCGCCCTGATTATTCTAGGTTTGTCAGCGCCTACCCGTTCTCGTTGGTTTCATCAACGTGCTAAATGTCTAAGACCTGTATCATGTCGGGTCTTCCATGAAGCTGACGCATCGTGATAAAACTGGAATTCTGTTAAAAGCGATGTAAATCCCAATTTACTCAGTCTACCGCCTCACGGGCCGCTTGGGTTGTATACTCCCCAGGGAGCTGATAATGAAACTCGGGTTCACACTGATCCAGTGACAGAGATAATACTGTAAACTACAATTATAACGAACTCAAAGGGACCACTAATTTTAGTTCGTTATAACCGTTCTTCGTTATAAGCATACATACAGCACATACACAGCAAATGGCTGAGACAAAAAAAAACAGTTCGTTATATCCGTCAGTTCGTTATAAGCGTGTTCGTAATAACGTAGTTTACTGTATTATAACCTATCATGGTCTAAGCGCAGTTATAAATTGGAACGTGTCCTATATAAATTCATTAATATAAAATTCGTCGGTTCACATGCCAGGATCTTATACCGCAAAAACACATTTTGAATTTCCTACATAAAAATACTGCGGACACAGTCATCCTCCGTTCCGTTGTCGCTTCACATGTAGATGAGTATCCAGCCGGGTTCCCTGGGTACGCGGCGCCGGCACTGCTGAGTATCGAACCCCGAGGGACCCCGATCAGAAAAGGTTCCCTTCTCCATGTTCGTCGTAAGAGCAGGCGCTGATCGGGTTATCATTCTCTGTTATTTGTCTGAATGTTTGTTTGTTCGTTTGTGTGTTTGTTGTCGCCGCAATCAGCAATATTCCAGCTATATGACGGTGGTCTGTAAATAATCGAGTCTGGACCAGACAATCCAGTTATTGACATCTTGAGCATCGATCCACGCAATTGGGATACGATGTCATGCATCAACCAAGTCAGCGAGCCTGACCACCCCGATCCCGTTAGTCGCATTTTACGAGAAGCATAGTCGCCTTTTATGGCAAGCATGGGTTGCTGAAGACCTATTCTACCCCGGATCTTCACGGGTCTCACCCAGTAAGTCGACTTTAACGGCAAGCATAGGTTGCTGGGGATTAACGCTGGGAAATTTTACGTTGGCACGTCTGTTAACCTTTACAGCCATGATCTTGGTTAGAGTTGGTAGGTGGGAAAACGAACGGCGATTTGTTTTCATTAAAGTATGCCAACGGTAGCATGGAATGTCGACCTTGACAGACGAAACTGTGATTAAAAATCACCAGGTAGAAACAATGACTTCAAAACGTGTTATCAATGAATGGCTCATGTGCACCCTGGATACCACTTGGCTATCAATGGCTGGTAATATCATTCAAAAGTCCCTCCCAACCACTGCTTACCTGTTTAACTTGTGGTTACCTACAGTGCTCGATTTAAGGAACTTGATTAATTTAACTTGCACCAGGTGCTTGTTGAAATGAAAACCTAGTTGCACCAGACAAAACCAGATTGCACCCTGGTCCCAGAAACTTCTCTAAATAATACAATCTCAGATCTCTGATAACACTGTCATGAATTTTAATATAGTTGGTACTAACTGTTACAGTACATATTTTGCATCAATGGTAACCTTCCTATAATACATAATGATTATCATTAGTTAGATAATCTAAACATCCTTACTTGAAACGCTGGTAACTTCCGTGACCGTTCAGGCTACAGTACATAATTTTGAAGTACCCACAGTTTGATGACGTCAAGCCCAAGAAAGCATGACAAATTACACATAACACAGGTTTATGAGTAATGTGGTGAATAAATCCTAGAGGTATTCAATGTGTTCAATATTGTTTTAGTGTAGACAAGTAAGGGTGAGAAAGACACAAATTTGAAGATTTTTTACATGCACATGTAGACATAAATAAATAGGTTTCATTTTTTAATAATAGGTTGCACCGATGCATGTTATACATAGACAGTCGAGCCCTGATTTGTGATTGGTGCCTACTCGTGTCTGGTATCCATGGTAGCGACTCCGACTGCGGGCACTGTACTAGGTGCATCTGTAGGTCTACAAGCAGCCTACACGTCACTGCCCTGTCTCTGTTCTACTGATGCCAATATAAGAGACCGTATTACTCCTTGTTTTCCAGAGGCCAGGCCAAGTTCTTCATGGAGCCCACCCGTCATCGTCACCAGTACCCTAACCTCTGGCCCTTTGAAGCTGCTATTGATATCTACTCCATTGAATTTGATTGGTTGAGGTACGTGAGTGATTAGACTTGATTGGTTGAGATAAGTGAATAATTCTATTTGAATTGGTAGATTTTAAGTTTTGAAAATTTGATTGGCTTCAAAAGTGAACTGACCGCCTCCGTGGTGTAGTGGGTAGAGCGGTGGTCCGATTCCCGGCATGATGAGAATAAAACAGGGACTGGTTGGCTCGGAGTCAGTATTCTGTGTCTGGTTAGGATTAGTACAAGCAGCCACCTACACACACACATGTGCATGGACGTAACTATATCAGTGTGTGTTTGTTGTTTAAACGCCTCACTAAGCACTATTCCAGCTATATGACGGCGGTCTGTAAATAATCGAGTCTGGACCAGATAATCGATCTACGAATCTACGAATTTGGGATACAATGACATGCATCAACCAAGTCAGCGAGTCTGACCACCCGACCCCGTTAGTCGCCTCTTGCGACAAGAATAATCTCCTCTCATGGACTCCATTATTTACAGACCTTGGTCATATAGCTGGAGTATTTCTGAGTTAAACAACAACAAACAAACAAAACAAAACTCACTCAGAGCATCTGGTAATTACACGAGTGTCTCTTGTTCCACAGGGAGCCAAGGAAGAACGCCATACTAAGGAAATACCGCGACCCCAACGCCCTCCCCATGAAGGTGGACAACGTGGACCTCCGGCGTAGACAGGGTTACGTGGCGGTAGAGAGGAAGCTGCACGAGAGGTCTGTGAGTCTGTGTGGGGTCCAGAACGGAGAGGTCCTGGGGGACACCGAAATATGTCTGGGTCTAGGAACCTACATGCAGACTGTCGTGTGTTCCACTGACACTGAAGTATTCATTCTAGACATGAAAAACTTTGAACGACTTGTTGGAAGAAAGAATCCAAACACTATTCAAATGATGAAAAAGCTTGTGGAATCTAAGTTAGCTATTCGTAAGGACTTAAAATATGCACAACACATACCTCTTTTAAAGTTTCTCCACTATAAACTGACTGAAGGGTCGTTACCGGAAGCTAAGAGACTACCTCCGTTGAAAGAATCCAAGGTTGCTCCGGATATTAATCACGAAAGGCAATACATCCTGGATAACTTTTTGGAAGGAAAGTCTCCACTTGTGGATCCCCAGGTTCCAGGGGCTGTTTATTATAAGAATCTCATGCAGGAGAAAGCTAGAATACGAGAGAATATCCGGAAAAGGGGGTCTAGTTTCAATGTTCAACATAAACAGAAGATAAGAAACCCGAACCGACGTCAGCCAAGAAGCCGGCGAGAGATTGTGGAGAGTCTACAGCAGATGTTGGATGACGACTTGCTCATGTTCCAACAGCCCCGGAAGAAGAAACCTGCCGGATCCAATGGTTCCGTCCGAACTGATGCCGTATCTGAGACGACCGTCAGCAGGAGGACAAGCTTCTCTGAGCCTTCCAGAAGCAGAGCAACGAGTTTCTCCAGGAAGAAGGGGAAGTTTGGATCAACGGGATCCTTGAACACGGATACCGATGACAAGGAGTCCGTTAAGAGTGATGGATCCTCTTCACAGAAGAGGTTCAACTCCAAATTTGTTCCAAAACCTCCATCGGAACCAAACAGTGGTAAGTCCACCCCAAGAAGAGGATTATCTCCCTTGAGTGTTTCGAGTGAAGGTAAAGAAAAGGATCAGAATATGATGCATCAGTTGAATGAGCATAGCGTTAAGCTAACCCATGGACCGATTCCACCAGCGTCTTCACGGGGACCCCAGCTGACTGAAAGCAACAACGTCCTACCACCAATACGAGAAGATACGGCAGAACAGCTTCTGTCTCGTGAACGAAAGGAAAGTGCAGTTAGCAGAAAACCAAATCTTGAATCCCCGAAGGAGATTATCGAACTTGAGCTCGAACGACCCAAAAGCGCCAAAGGTTATGAACCCTTGAACATCGAACCCTCGAAAGAGAAACCGGAGGAGGAATTCCATCTCCCAACTCTAGCGTATGTACCCCTGTCCACTCGAAGGTCCAGCACCAGTTCAGTTAGGTCCAGATGGGAGCCTGCAAGGAAGATCATACAGGAGAGGATTCAGGATCGCATCTCGACTCAGTTAGCTGACAAGGAGCCTTCGTATGCGGATTACGACACAAGCGAAAACTCCCTCAGCTATCTGGAGTCCAGGATCAGGTCTTTTCATCTCAAATACGGCAACAAGAACAAGATGACCCTGAAACTACCCAAGCTGCGGCGGTACACTGGACATATACAGGTACGGAGGTTGTTACTGTTCCGAATTCCAACAATCGTGAATTTTGTGAGTACGCCGCTTTTAGCAGTATCCAAGCAATATCACGGCGGTGAACACCACAAATGTTTTTTACACATTGTACCCATGTTGGAATCGAACCCGGACCTCCGTCGTGACGAGTGAACGCTTTAACCACTAGGCTACCCCGCCACCCTTTTGATAGTGTGAATGATCAGTTTGTATAGTAAAAAAAACAATAATTTGATCATTATCCACCCTGCCATTAGCTAAGGGAATATAATATTCTAAAGGATTTGGAATCGTTTTATCTTTTTCTGTCACTGATTCAAAAACATGAGTTAACCTTATTTTTGGCCTTAACTTTCGCAAACAAAATTATACTTTTCAAAACTCCCCCATACCCTAGATTCGATTTTTGACAGGAAACAACACTCACTCACTCACTCACTCACTCACTCACTCACTCACTCACTCACTAAGCTTCATTTTGAATCTTCCTTATTTCAGGAAACTCCCGAGTCTCAGCCTCGTCCAGGTGGAAAGGTATGGATCCGGAAACAACTGTGTCAGTTTGCTGATCAGCGCGTGCAGGTCAAAGGTCACAAGCACGTGCGGTACCACATGGTGGAATCCTTACCTCAGTTCGACCATGTGAAAAAGACCCGGATGATAATGAACTACCTTATGAGTGCCAGAAACCAAACTGACACGCAGTCACTCGGCAATAGTAACCAAGCAATCAGCTTCACCCAAGAAAGCTGATATGACGTTTAACACGAAGTATTGGGTCATGTCGGATAAATAGTATTATATGTGTGATTTAGAGCAACTATATGTCACCCATATATCAATGGGGAAACAACGAATGGTTGAAAAAACAGGACTTGAATCCCAGTGTCTCAAAACCCGAAACGAGAGCATGATGTCAACGGCACTCTGCAACAAAATCATATTTTTTTCTTCATCAAAGTCAAAATGCGTCGACACGCTCTACCGGTTTTTTTTCCATTTTATGTGCAACACGCATGTTCGGGAAGACTCGAGTAATCGCCCCTGTACTACAAAAGCAGGATCGGTCAAACTAAAGCGAAACGAAAACTGGTCAAATGTGTGCAAAGACAAACGTTCAAATTTCCTTGGAGGATTTTGTACAAACTTGGTATATTTAAATTTATTTACCTCGTTTGCCTGACGTCTCGTGCATTGCTGACAATAATCTGCAAAAGCTCTTGTGGTGACAGTTTTACTAACTTATTGGGTTTTTTTCACTGAAAAATATTTTTGTAATTTGACCATATGGTTGTTTGTTATTTTTGTTATTTGTATGCAGTGAACACATTGGTTCTCGGTGTGCAGCAGGCAATCCCGTGGTTCGGAACGGGTCAACCATTACCTTTGTTACAAGATCTTACAACTTAAGAATCTTACAGCTGAAGAATCTTACACGTGGTAATGCGGAAACGTTTTCGATAGAAGTTGACATAAATCTTACCCTATCTCCAAATGCACAATATCACTGTTTGACGACCTTGCCTGACCCTGTACATTTCGTGACCAGGGCCCCGTTCCACAAAGCCACCTTAGCGCTAAGGTGATCGTAACTCTCACACTTTAACACTGGCTTACGATAGTCGTAGCGCTAAGATCGCTTTGTGGGGCGGTGCCCTGGGGGATCCAGTCGTCTAAGGCAGAGCAATTATCTGTGCGGAGTTGGATCCCTTTGGCGTGCCAGAAACCTATCGTCGTGGGATCGAATCTCAGACTCGCACTGTTAATGTTTCCAGGTTTGTCGGCACCATACCCGTGCTCGTTCATAAACGTCTAAAGCCAGCATCTCTTCTTTCCTGTGCCTTCCCCAAAATATAGAAATGCTGACAGGTCGTGGGACAAATTGTCGTTTAACCAAGCATATCTGCATACTCTTTTATTATCCTGTGGGTAGTGCTGTAGTCTGGTGGATATATAGCGTTCTCTCCCATCCCCTCCCCCAAAATATGTCTGGACTCGCTAGAACCACCATCACTCACTCACTTGCTATCCGGGGGGTGGGGGGCAAATATTTGTCCCCTGCTTGATTCAAATAAAACTGTGATCTGTAACCACTCCCATCCCCTCCACCCACCCATGACACTGCTTGGTATGTGATCAATCGGCTCTAACATAGTCCAACGTATATTACCCGAAATACAGTTATGTTTAGCGCTTAATGAAAATAATAGTTTGGGGGAAACTTTGAGGTGTAAGGGAATGACAATAGGCTGCTAAAGTTCAGAAGGGGAGGAGAAAGGAATGATTGTTTTATCAAATAAATTATAGACTCTAAGGTCTGCATGATTGACTACATACCTGTGCTAAAGGGTGACCTGCATCACTCCGGGCTTTCCTCCCACGTCAAGCGGACACGTTGTAATATGACTGAATTATTAAAAGCAAAACACACACATGATGTTAAACTGCAGATGTACTTTGCTTTTTAATATTCAGGTTTTACGCCGCACTCAGCAATATTCAGCGGTCTGTGAATAATCGAGTCTCCAGTGATTGACATCCGGAGCATCGATCCCTGCAGTCGGGATACGGTGACAAGCAATAAACCAATATAAATAGTTTCCGATATAAACAATCCATCCCGAATTAATCCATTTTAATCCCTGTAATAAATGCACTGCTCTCTCAGTGGGGTTACCATTTTTCATCATGCCAAGTCCTAAAGCTCCTTTCAGCGATATCCCATTCGCTGACATCTCCAAACCATGGGTGACGAACGTTTCACGCCCAGGGATGGAGCTTGCACGTTCCCGGCAGACAATGGGAGATAACTCTGTCAACACAATAACGAACTCGTCACGGATTTTGGATTTTATGGACATCTTGTTCATCTTGTGATAATTCCAATTAATCTTTTTCAGGGGGTCTCGAAGAAACATAAACATAGTTTTCAGAGTTATTAAACGAGTCAAAACAAAGGACACAAGAAGTAACGGTGAGAAAGTCACATTTTATTATTCTTATTTAAGAAGCCTTCAGAAATTCAATACGCCTGATGTCCTCTAGGGATTCCGGGACACCCTTTGTTGGTTGGGAGAGGCGACACTGTGGATCGGCTGCATTCGTGACCAACTCGTGTTATTCCGGGACAAGCCGAATAGCGACTCGTGCCCCTCTCGTGGCCATTTTTGCAACCGGGTTCCGTCTTAGCGCAAACGGGCACACCTAATACAACTGTCAACTCGTTGCGCAATGGTTCACATATATTTCCCCATATATCATTTATATTTCAGATGCAACGAAAAGCACATCAGGACATGCGAAATTATACAGTATGATTGAACACATTTAACTGTGTCTTGGGTATATTTTTAGATGCAAGACATATGTAAAAACCGAAATTATTTCTGAGGGATTCTTTGACAAAGAACTTGAAATCATACGCGCATTCTGATTGGTTTGTCGTATTTTCGCACATAACATTCATCGATAGGGGGACGAGTCTTCTTGCAGGTTACGGAAAGTGGCGAATGGTGACGAATGGATCGGCTGGTCAGGCTCGGTGACGTAGTTGATGACGTGTCTTCCTACCCCGACGGCGTGGATTGATGCACACAATAACAATTGTCTATCCAGATTTGTTTAATATATTTTCAAACTAGTCAAACTGTATTTAAAATGTCTTAGTTCAGGTTCCTCGATATTGAACTAAACCCGGGAATGTCCGGGTAAGAATTGGTCTTCAGCAACCCATACTTGTCTGGAGAGGCGACAAACGGGACCGGGGGATCAGGCTCGCTGACTTGGATGATGCATGTCATCGTATCCCTGATGAGTAGATCGATGCTCATGATGTCAGTCACTGGATTGTCTGGTCCGGACTCGATTATTTAGAGACCGCCGTCATATAGATGAATATTGTTGAGTGCGGCGTTAAACAACAAACAAACAAACATTGAACAAAAGGTAAACGAAAATAGTTTCAACAAGTCAAGAGTTGAAATTAGCATAGCTGTAATATCATAGCATTTTTGTTTGTTTAGACTTTAAAATACTGTTAAGAGAAAACACTGTTCCAGGGATTCGGGAGATAGGAATGGCTTTGGTTGTGTTTACACGTAGAAGGGGGCGGTCGGGTAGCCTAGTGGTTAAAGCGTTAGCTCGTCACGCCGAAGACCCGGGTTCGATTCCCGACATGGGTACAATGTGTGAAGCCGTGATATTGCTCGAATATTGCTAAAAGCGGCGTAAAACCATACTCACTCACTCACCCACTACACGTAGAAGACTACCCGTAATTGTTTAAATATTTATGTAAACAAAAAATTCGCGTGAATATTAGTGGTGTTTCTATCAATACAAGAGTCATCAGAAAGATGACATATCCCCCGGCAGCTGTCTGTAAAGTTACCACAAGTAAATGTGCTATTCTGTTTGTAATGAGTCAAGAGTTGAATGTTCTTGAAGAAGCATACATTATTTACCCACAAAAGATCCACCATGGTCGCATCCATATGAAATGGAAAGTAAAACAAGTGTGTTTCTGTGGGGTTTTTTATGCAAACAAATGACAAATTACAAGAAACAATAACTAAACAAGCGTATAGTCAATGAAGTCATCTATATCCCCCGCCCATTTTAACAAGTTATGGTCCCAAACCAGGTAACTGACCCAACATTTCTCTTAGCCCATGTCAAAATAGCTGCAATGGAAATTCTAAAATAAACATTTCTAAAACTCCTTAATATCAAATGGCACCAGTTCAGTATGTGCTTTATATATAGACATGCAATGTTTGGCAAGGAAACATATAACAGTTTATTTGTTATACTCCATAAGTGAACCAACCCTATATGAAAACTTAAATCCAACTTGTTGCCATGGAAATTTATAAAATTCCTAAATAGCAAAAGGCACAAGTTCAGTATGTGCCTGGTAGACATGCAAAGTTTTGTAAGAAATATTTAATGGTTTTTGAGTTACGCTCCGGAAATGAACATCACCCTTTAGGAACCCAAGTCCAACTTGTTGCCATGGAAACGTAAAAAATATAAATTTATAAAATTCCTAAATAGCAAAAGGTACCAGTTCAATATGTAGTTTAAACCTATGAAAAGTAACATGGAGAAATATTCAACAGTTTTTTAGTTCTGCTTCGGAAACAAACATTACTCACATAGTAAGCCTATGTCCAGCATGCTTTCATGAAAATGGAAAAATAAAAAAATTGGAAAAAATCCAAAATAGCAAAAGGCACATCTTCACCACTTCTGTTATATAAATGCAAAGTTTGATGAAGAAATATTTAACGGTTTTCGAGTTCTGCTCCGGAAACGATTCGGACAGACAGACGGACGGACATGCCCATAGCTATATCCCCCCGCATTATATGCCGGGGGGATAATAAGTCACTAATACATTGAGTGTCGTTGTCAGGAGTGCAAATGTCAGCTGTGTCGGGTCACGGGATCAAATATCGGAGTCATCTGATAAGAAAATGTTCTTTTCATGACGTGTTTAACCTTACTGATTTCCTGTGTCACCGAGGTTGACTGAGATTCCGGCATAGAGAGAAAGAGAGTACCAAACGCTGAAACCTAGTACTTCTTCCAGGATGAAATGAACCTCAGCCAAACCTCTTATGGGAGTGTTCTTCGAGATTTTCAACAGCCGACCAAATAGATTACTGATAAGTGAATGAAGTGTTGTAAAATCTCGTATTGTACCCATACAGATTACGTGACGTTGACACCTGCTTGGTATTTGCTTTCGCTGTGAATGGTAAGTTTAGCACGGAAATGTTCCCTTATTACAGACAGACGAAGAGGTTGGAATGAGGAAATACACTATACACTGTTAGAACTAGTCTGTCTTACAGTCCCTGAACCACGTTATTTTCCCTTCGCGCCCAGCCCTTACTGTAATGCTATCGCTTTTAATGAAGCAAGTCTAGATTTCCCAATGGTTCAGTTCTGAATCTCCCATCTCACTGGGTCTCCTTTTCAATTTAAATGTAGTTTTTTGTTTCTATCAAAATAATATATTTTCAGAGACTTACCGTTAGTCTATGTTAGAACATAAAGCCCCGGATGAGACTTTAATAAGTCTAGGTAACATAGGTCCTTCATCTCCAAGCATTCAGGTTCAGCGACGTAGTCTTCATAATGTCAACCACTGGTTTGTCTGGCCCAGACTCGAGTGAGTGAGTGAGTGAGTGGTGTTTAACGCCGCTTTTAACAGTATTCCAGTTATATCACGGCGTGTCAGCTTAATGTGGGAGGAAAGCCTAATAGGTCTAGGTAG